GGATGACTTCTGTAGGAATCATGTCACCCTCTGTCTTTGCGAACCTCCTCATCATCCTAGATGGAATGGTGTTTATAGCTGCTCCATTGTCGACAAGCACTTTTGCCACTAGGATGCCGTTAACTAGAGTTTTAACGTACAATGGCCTCAAGTGTTTAGTCAATTTCATGGCTGGCCGTTTAAAAATAACCTTTTTCGGCAACCTCTATTTCTACTTCCTGCTTGTTTTCTGTCGAATTATCCCCCTGTGATAAGTCGACGTGCAGTATATCGCGCTGATCCTCTGCCTCCTAAACTTCCTTCTTACTTTTTTCTAATGCTTCTTCATTAGTTACCCAACCTGTGGGAGGGGGCATTATCCTTGGAGGTGACCCATACTTTTCAGAGCGAGGCACTCTTTTCTTCCTTTGGGTGTCCCGTACAGTACGTAGAAATCGAAAGGACACCCAGATGGTTCTCCCAACAAGTCTACTTCGCGAACTCCTTCTCGATGTAGTTGCTTCAACAGAGTATTACGCGATACTCCTTTCTTTCTTCCTTCCACTTCTAGGTCGATTTCTTCTTCAATGTCTGTCATCCCGTCATCCTCTTTATCGTTGTAGGCCTCTCTAGAATTCTGGCCTTCTTCACATTCTAGCACGCAAGCTTCTCCTTCGTTGTCTTCCCTCTCTCCTTCTTTTTCTTTATTCTTGAATTCATTGGTCAGTAAGTAATTATTGGCCACGACAGGAGGCAACGTACCGAATTGGATAGTAAGGGGCTGATCTGGATCTTCTCCATCCCTTCTGTCTCGCTCAAACTTTGATCTCCCAGAAAAAGTTTCTGGCAGTTCCTTCATTGATTCATCTGTACTGGTCTCTTCACTATCTTTGAGAACATTTTGATTGGCTACTTTAAGTAGTTTAGGCGCTTTAGGATGTGGCATTCCCTGTTGCTGCCTCATCATCCGTCCATAGTTTCGTTGGAAACGCCTTTGTTGGGTTCTAGTCATCTTATCGAAGGGTATTGCCCTTCCTGCACTATACTGGAATGAATGTCATACATTCGGCTGGCGAGGTTGCGGCCTGAATGTTCTTCCATTATTTGCTGGCCTGAACTGCCTCTCAAAAGGCGGTCCTCTATAGAATGATATACCTCTCCCTCTACCAGGCTGAGTGTTTGGGAAGAAGGTAGGGTGATGGGGATGCTGCCATATCCCTGGTTTCTCCGTATTACCATTCACTTCTCTTTTACATTTTTCACACAGGACGTCTTTGTCCTTTTTTGGTTCTTTCCCCTTGATTCGTTCAAAGACACTGGGATGTAGTCTAGGATCCTCTTCTCTATCATCTATGACCAACTTGAATTTTGGCAACTTGTTTTTGAATCCAGACGTCACCATATTCACTCCAAGTGGCTGTGGAAAAGGATTTTCATTCATTGCCATCTTCTTCTTATCGTCGAACGTAATTCGTCCTGATTCAATGACATCCTGCAATACATGGCGAAAAATCGAGCAATTGTTAGTCAAATGTGACCATGCATTATGCCACTTACAATATTTTTTACCCTTAATTTGTTCAGGGTTTGGCAATTTGTGCTTATCGCTCAACTTTATCTGTTTATCCCTATATAATTTATCAAATATAAGGTCAGCTTTGGTTACATTGAACGAGAACGTTCTAGCCTTTATGTTTCCATCTTTTATGGGCTCATCTTTGCCCGATGGTCTAGGCTTAGCCATTATGGGACAAGTATACGTATCTCCTTTGACCAATTCGGCCAAACACATTTCGGCCTGGTCGTATGACTCGTCACTGACGGTATGAACATCGAAATTTGGGTCTTTGTAATAAGTCCCTTTACTAGAATTTTTCATCTGTTCTTCCTCTCTTATCAGTCGTTCATACCTAATCACATTCGCACTCAACTGGAAAAGGTCAGGAAATTCCTTGTCCTGGAATTTTTTTTTAAATCAAAGCTCAAACAGCCCTGAGCGATTTTAACAAATTCTTTTTCGGGCAGATGTACAAAACACTTGCTTCTTGCTGTCTTGAACCTTTGGAGAAAACTTTCTGCCCATTCGTTTGGCATTTGACATAGATTCGCCAAATCAATCAAAGTGATTTCAGACTCAGTTTTATAAAACTGAGCGTGAAATAACTGTTCCAATTGTTGCCATGTTTGAACAGAGTTCGCTGACAAGTTGATGAACCAAGAGAAAGCTACTCCTGTTAACGAACTAGGGAAAAACCTCATTTTATGGTAATCGGTTACATCACCACTTTGCAATGTGAATCGCCCTATGTGTTCTAGAGTAGACACCTCTCCTAAACCGGTAAACAGTGAGAATTCTGGCACTTTGTACCCTCTAGGCCATGGATATGCTTGGTCTATCCAATCAGGATATGGTTTTGTATACGTCGGCCTAATGACAGGACGCACCCCAAAAGCCATCTGATCCTCTACGATTTCCATAACTTGATTTCTCAACATGACGTTGGAATCATATGGAATTCCTACAGGCTGGTTAACCGATTGATTTGCATGAGGCCTGATGTTTGGTCCTTGATTGGCAACAAAGTTAACATAATTAGGGCTATTACCATTAGCCTGAACATCTATCCCCTCATTAACACGTGGGGTATTCTGTCCATTGTTTAGGACACTATCTCTTATGTTTGGATTACCCCCCCAAGTTAGGCGTACCACTACCATTGTTCTGATTTGGCACTGCAGTACCCCCTTAGTTTGAAGTAGAGGGACCAGAAAATGATTCTACCCCTTGATTCGGATTTAGGACTGAGGGATTATGTCCCACAATTGTCCTAATTTGAAAGTGATTTGCAAGAGGTATAACCGGTTGACATATTTGGCCTACTAACTTATTCATTGTTTCGTTCAAAGTGTTTAGTTGTTTGGCCATGTTGTCATAGTGTGCATTCCCATTTTGGGTAAATCTTTCCATATTATGAATACTTCGAAAATTTACCTGTTCAACAACGCCTTGTGTGAGTTCTCCAAGTAACGCACGTATGGTTCGAGGACTCAACTCCATCATTGGTTCGTAACGACTGTTACTGCTTTGATTCTGTCCATCTATTCGTGGAGAGGCATGCTGCTCCTCATATCGCTCGATCACAGACTGGACTCCTCCCTGACTTGCTGCTTCCTTATCGGATCTCTGAGGCATATTGTTTCACCTTTTGTACTTTCAACACCAAGCACCACTGTCCCACTGGGCGTGCCAAATTGTTTCGCGCAGGTTAGTCGCTAACAATTAAAAGGGATCAGACAATTATGTAAGGGACAAACCTCTTGAGACAAAGTCCCAAAAAGGGGTGTTCTTTTATAGGCGATGACTTTACAATTGGAAATCAAAAACAAAATGCCTCCAAGGGGCGCAAGCACACGAGTTACTGAAAAAAGTGTTTAAGTCTAAACTAAGGAAATTAAAATTACACGTTCTCTGTTCGAGAGTTTTTGATTCGGTCCTTTGCTCTATGTCTTTTCTCCCTTTTATACTCCATGGATGATCTTTTTTGTGATAAACCGCCTAAAAACTGCTTGATCGTTCTGCAACTGCTCACTTTCCTCATAATTGCCAGCTTGTCATGAAAAATGCCTATTTTAACTACTGCTATTACTCTTCGTCGTTCAACCGTTTTCGATTAAATTCCTTGAATCGTGGAACGTGATAGGGCTGCTTTAATAACTGCTTTGATAACTGCACTTCTTGATAACCACAACGCTTTATATTTGTTAAGACTTTGGACGACTTGAAAGTTTGGGCGAGAATAGAGTAACAGCTCGAGCGACTGCATGACACTCCATTCGCTCAGATTCTGGGCGACTTGCAAATTTGGGCGATGGCGTTACCGCGTTCTTGGACCTTCCCATTTGGGCCTTCATCTTGAATTGTTTGATTTGACTTCATTCTTTGGGCTATCTGATTTGGGGATCCTCCAATTGGGCTTCATTCCTTGGGCTGTTCGATTTGGGCTGAATTTTTATCTGTCAACACTAAGTATATGTACATGTGAGTATGAACAAGTAGATACAGATATAATTACGTTTGTTACCTTATTGATTAGTGATCCACATTATTGGTAACGTTTTATTTCACATTGGGATGTATTAAAAGAATTTACAAATTTTCCTCCTATCAAGGAAACACATCAAAATATCATCGAGAAGCGACAGACATGAGATAAAGATTAGAGATCTTTCAATGCTCATAATGACTCTAACGAACATGCGAACAAGTTTATTTCAATTTTATTTAGATTCTCAATCACCTAGGCTAGAAAGAATTTATAAGGGCCTACTAACTTAAAGAAGCGATCAATGTTGATCAGTGTATTTGCAATAAATAAAATATCTAAATTATTTTAAAAACTTGATGTCGTGGCCAAGCTCTTTGGAGAACGTGGATGTTCATTAAATTTTGGATCAAAAATCAAAATAATCTCAAACTTGACTGTAGCATTATAAAAATTAATATTTCGAGATATATAAGTTAAAAGAATGTTCACTTACATTTTAAAAATAAAAAAGTCAAAAGGTAATCATCGTCACCATCACGGCCAATTGTGATGGCACCTCTAAAGTCGTAGCGAGTTTGGTCGAGAATAGCACTATAAAGTCTTCTTGACTTTTGGTCAAATTCGACGATTATAGCAAGTTGATTGTAAGCAAGTTGAAACTCCATTGGCCATCGTATTTGGTATATAAATTTATACAATTATGAAACGACTTCAAAGTCGTCGTTTTGTGGTTCAAAACGCCGTTGCGACCGAGTCAATTTGTCAACGAAGAAACAGCCTCATTTTTGGTAATAAATAAACAAACCAACGAATTCTCTACTCACATAACTGTGACACATAATGATTAACAGTCATCTAAGAAACCTAAACGTGTAAATTTGTTCAGATACTTTAGAAACGTCCATACTCAATTCGTCTGTGATTTTTCTAACATCAAATATACGTCACTTTATAAGTCCATTCATTCAAGCAATCCTCCCTTCTCTCTCTCCCTGTACAGAGATCTCACTTCTCTCTCCTGTTCTTCTTTACAAACAATGTCACTGCGACGCTCTTTTCTGGCACGAAGAATAAATCAGTGTTCATTCTCATTTTCGAAATCCTTCAATGAATTCGATTTCCCAGAAAATCAAACAGTTGTTACCAGTAATATTAATGATGAAAACAGCGAAAAAAAGGAAGAAGAAAATGGCGAAAACAGGCATCAGAACGGCGTCGTTGAAGAATCGAGTCCTAGTGGATCGGGTTCTTTGAACCCGGCTTCGTGGGCGAATATGCTGCCGGAGATACTGGGAGATATTATACGGAGGGTGGAAGAAAGTGAAGACAAATGGCCGCAACGTCAAAACGTCGTCGCGTGCGGGTGTGTATGCAAGAGGTGGAGGGTTGTAACCAAAGAGGTGGTGGAGAAGGCCTCTGTTCATCAAGATGGCAATATCACTTTCCCTCCTTCCCTGAAAAAGGTTCAAGTTTAAATTTTTTGTTCTTAATCTGATGTAGTGATGTTTGATTTTGAATCTTAGTATTAGAATAATAGAATGTGAATTGGGATTTGCATTAGATAGATACAAGATTCGTATGGTATTGAATGAAAGGTTAAAAATGTGCATGATTTAAAGGAATAGAATGATCAGTTCTTCCAATAGTATTTACTACTTGTAAATGTTATGCAGGACTCGGTAACGATGGATATGATTAATGAAGAAACAATTTAAAAATCTTATTTGTTATCCCATGAAATAGGGTCGACTATCATGTACAAAACATGTGATAAGTTTTAGGCAGAATGACTGAGTTTCTCGACTTCTTTGATAGTTTTTGTGTTTGAGCATTCGGTATTGTGGTTAAGAATGTGTGTTTCAATGGTAAAATTTAAGATTGTCGGATTTTGAGTAGAATCATTTATCCCATACATTTTCAAGAACTGTGTACAAAACATGAGATAAGTTTAGCGGAGTTTCTCGACTTCTTTTTATAGTTTTGATTTCTGTTTTCCATGTTGTATTTGAGCATTCGGAATTGGGGTTAAGAATGCGTGTTTCAATGGTAAAATGTATGATTATTGGATTTTGAGTAGAATACTTTTTCTGATGTTCCAAGCTAATATCTTGTGTGCTGCAGCCGGGGCCGCGGGACTCTCCGCATCAATGTATTGTAAAACGTGACAAGAAGAGCGGGACATTTTACCTTTATCTTGCACTCTCACCTTGTAAGTAAATGTTCTTTTGGAAATTTTTGAAGATAACGTGCTAAATGATTGATTGATATTTGCTTACTCTACTGAAAACTTACTCGGTTTCTCCTTCTTATTGGTTTAATTGATGAAGCATTGTAGTTTAACTTTAACCTTATCTTACATGTAATATTGACTTATCTAGGCCAAATTTGGCGACCAAGATGTTCATGTTTTTACTTTCTAATGAAAAAGGGTACACTTTTTTGGTGTTTTCTTAAAAAAAGGAACTTGATAAACATCTCTTCATTTCCCTCCCAATTTGCCGAGTCTATCTATTTCCTCCTCTCCTCTCCTCTATTCTCTCTCATTTATATCATGAAAGCATTCTTTGAAGCCTCAATGCCAATTCTGTTCTTTCATTCCCACTGAGAGAAAGTAGAATGCTGTCATCTTGCCGGACTGCTTGTGGGCAAAGGTGAATCAAGTCCATTCTCTCTGTCCTGATTATCGGGCGAGCTGAGGGGTGGAACTCTATTGGAGCCTGCTCGTTGGTTTAACCATACTCTTCTAAAGCTATAACATTTGGCATACCATTTGTCCTAAAAGAAAAAAGAAAAGGGAAATTACTTCTTCACAAGCCTTCGCAGGTAGTTGCACATATGATGTCATGCCGTCAGGTAGTGGCATGTGTTGCACATGCTGGCAATCAAAGCTGGAGTCTTTATAGTTTATCTACCCATCTACTGAAGTTAATTTCTCTTCAGCAAGCAGAATAATGGATATTTCATTAAAGTCATGCTGAAAATACGCTTATTGTAGGCTTAAATTATAAGATATAATGTTTGATGAATTTTCTTACAATTACTATTACTTCTAAGTTTTCCAAATTTTCCATTTTCTTATTTGCTAGGAGTTTTAAAATATAAATAGAATACTATGGTATAATGTAGACAATTATTGAGAATATTCAATGATAATTAAATCATTTTTACATTTTTCTCTCAATTCTCCAATTCTTTCTCTTTACATTTCTACATCATCAAGTACATTGATTATGGAATTAAATACATCAAGTGTTTTACAGATTCTAGCTTGAAGTACAGATTCTATAGATCATTGTCGTAGTATTTGTCATCAAATTTCATAGATCCAACCTTTTATATCCATATATTGTCATGGATTTCCTTATATTTGGCTCTTTGTGATTTTATTAATAGAGTCTCACTTTTTCTGTGACAGCATTTTTGGACGAAGGAAAGTTTCTCTTAGCAGCACGAAGATACAGAAATGGTACTCACACCGAGTACATTATATCACTTGATGCCAATGATCTCTCTCAACAAAGTAATGCATATGTTGGGAAATTGAGGTACGGATTTCGAATCTTGAAACGCAAACCAGACCTGTATCTTACCTTCTCTATGGTGAAATCAATATATAATTGATCCCACTATTTGATGAAGCCTATTTTCAGCATTTTTCTTATTTTCGTTGACTAATAAGAGTACTTGAGCTAATTTCGTTGTCATTTTAATAAAAATAGCCATTTCCACTTCACAGGTCAGATTTTCTCGGTACTAATTTCACAGTCTATGATAGCAAGTCAACACACGGCGGAGCAATGCCATCGAGCTGCAGATCTGTTCGCCGTGTAGCAAGCAAGCAGATAAGTCCCCAAGTTCTGGCTGCTAACTTTGAAGTTGGGCAGGTGTCCTATAAGTTCAATCTCTTGAAGTCTAGAGGTCCAAGGAGGATGATATGCTCACTTAAGTGCCCGTCTTCAGACGGAACAACATCAGTCGACAACTCCCGAGATGATTTGAAAATGAAGAGTCCTGAATCCTCTGATCGGGGTTATAATATTTTGAAAAACAAAGTTCCAAGGTGGCACGAACAGTTGGAGTGTTGGTGCTTGAATTTTCATGGTCGGGTCACAGTTGCATCAGTTAAGAATTTTCAGCTGGTTGCGACTATGGATCAAAGTCGACCTGGTGGAAAGGGCGATGAGGAAACAGTGCTCCTCCAATTCGGGAGGGTAGGAGATGATACTTTCACAATGGATTATAGGCAGCCTCTGTCGGCTTTCCAGGCATTTGCTATCTGCTTAACAAGTTTTGGGACAAAACTGGCTTGTGAGTAACTTATTTCAAAGTTCGCCGTGTTTAAGATGATTTCTTGCTTTTGCCTTGTTATATAGAAGTATATATGTACTGATTTTGTTTAGCTGATGGAAATATGCTATGTATATGATTATCAATCTTTGAATTGTTGCATTATGTCATTTTTGAATTGATGACAGAAAAAAGAATCTGCACAATGGCTGGATTGAGGTATGGTGGCTTGAATTTTACATATTTCAATGTTTTGCTAGAATAAAGCTGTAATTTGTTTGATGAACAGCTGATCTCTTATTGAGGTAAAATATATATAGTTTTTCTCTCATTGTAAGAAAGATTATCAGTAAAGTAAATAATTTAGTAATAGGTTAATTACGTCAATGGTCACCGAAGTTATTTTTTTACTATGTGCTTGTTTGGTACCCATTTTTTGCCCTTTTTAGAAGATTTCTTACCGTTGTAACCGTAAGTGGGCCATATGCAGTCGTCCTTCGTTGACTCAACAGAATCCAAATTCTCTGAAATGCCCCTCTCAAATACAATGACAAAAATGCCAAATGCGTAGAAAGGTAATTTTGCCTTGGTTCGATCATTAAATGTACCTGCAATTTCACTATATAACGGTCATAAATTGTCTAAAAATAGGTCGAAAACTGCTACTAGACACGCCATAGCAGTCACTTAAATTTTTAATGTAACACTAATGTTCTCTCAATCCAAAAAATATATAAAAATAAAAAATAAAAAGACGTTAACTTTTACGTGGCACCATTAAATGTTAATGTCACCAAAAAGCGTTTTTTATTACATCAAGTATGATTATTGTTATAAAACATAGGATTACTATATGATTTTAGCAAAAAATCTAAGCAAAATTAAAGCCGCAATATGTTTTCATATCTAGATGTGATTAATCCTCAATTTTGTTGATTTGATGTAATAAATAAATTTGTCTGTTGACGCGTTGGCATTAATAATGTTATATGATCATGAGTGTAGTATTAGAAATTTGAGTGACTAATGCTATATGATCAATATTGTAGTAATAGAAATTTGAGTGACTATTGTCGTGAGAAAAAAACTTCAACAACAATTGGAATAATTATTCTAGTAATAACTGAAGAATTTATACGAAGTATTTTGTGCATTACACAAGAGTAGGATTTTACATGGAGTTGGCTTATATACTCAGCAATTTCACCATTTATACAAACAAACACCCAAAGAAATAGATACCATTTGAGCTGGTACTTCAAGAAATCGATGGGAATGGGGAAAGCATGACAAAAATAGATTCGAATTTCTCATTTAACACATATTCCCATTCGTTATCAGAAGGGCTCCAAGTAATTCTCTGCATCAATCCTAGGCTCAGACAAAATTGCCATGAGACTTGGTACATTCAAAGCTATCATATGGAAAAATAAAAAGGAATTTCGACCACTTGATACAGATTCCAATTGATGCTTGGTGTCAATTCACAATCTTTCTATCATACACAAGCAAAGGCTTCATTTCTTCCTACCAATATCACCTTCCACTATAGCATGTCTTGTCAAGACAATCTCCTTCACAAGATTCCTGTAGGTGAAGGGCCTAACAGCTGCTCTTAAGAACACGCCTGGAGGGATCTTACTCTTTTTCACCTTCTTCCTATACGGACCATAGCCGAGCAAATTCCATTCTTCTCGACTCACTTTAGCCCTTCTACCTCGCATTGCCAGTTCGTCTCCATCCGCGGAACTTCCTCTTGTTTCCTTATTCATTGCCTGCATCCGCGTCTCGTAGAACTTGTTGGAAACCTCTATACTTTTCTTGACAAGCTTTTCCATTGCTTCATTACTACTAAGTGACTTCTTGAACTCCTCATCCCAATGCTTAGCATCCTCTTCCGGACTCAAATCCTCGTCCTCCTTGATTCCCAATTCATCATCTCCGCTTATTTCTGCGTCCAAAACGAAGTCATCTTGTTCATCAACATCCTCGTCTTCATCACCATCATCATTACCATCATCCTCAATCCAATCCATTATTTGATCATCACCATGATAATCACCGTCATCATCCGGTGCATCACAACCTAACTCCATTTCTTCCAGCCTCACCTTCCACTCCTTAGTATATGGATGCAACAACAAAACTGGATGATTTTCAAATAGAAAACCTAAACACTTGACTTTCTTTTCGTCACTCAATTTTTCAAATGCATTCACCACATCATCCACAAAGGCCTTAGGATTCACCCTCACAATCTTACATAACCCGCCAAAATACGTGCACAAATCCATCCTCCCATCATCAGTCTCTAACTCGAACAAGAAATCGGACTCAGTTTCTGGGTCTAGTAACGGTGTCAAGGCCCGGAAAAACTCATCCTGAGGCTCAAACCTACACTGGTACACTGGCCTCTTTACGTATATGATGTCCGGTCTCATCCAGGCCGCGCATTGTGTGATCTTCGCCCTCGATGTATTCCCAAGCCTCCCCATTAAAGTCCACTTGTCCAACCTCTGATCCCCAGCCTCGAGTGCAACCTCACAGACCAAAGTCCACTGCTGCCAAGGCAAATCCGAGATCCTCCATTTCGGGTGCCGAACAAACACCCAAAAGTACCTCAACCCCTTATTTTTATCCATAGCATCTAATCTTTTCTGAAAATCTGTAGCCATTTCATGCTGTTCAATCTTTTCCCACTCCTCTTGATCCTTGACTTCACCAATCATGGAAACACATTCATCTGAAATTCTTCCACGAACTGGGTCACCCAAAACCACCCCACGCCAAGAGTAGGGTCCAAATTCACCATACTTGTACCAGTCATACGGGTGCTTCAAATTCGGGTCATCTTGTTCCATGAACCTAACCATTCTATCATAGCCCAGACCAATCATTTGCAGCTCCTCTTCCGAGAAATTATCCGGGTAATTTTTGTGGGGATTTTTGAGCCTGTAAAATAGACTCTCCGCCAGTTTTTTACTTTTCCGGCGAGCATTCCGCTTGGCCTCTCGACGGACCTCGGCGTTGCCCTCTATACGTCCGGTGGAGGGACCTCCGGGCTTTCCCTTGCTCCGTCCGGCGAATGGACGGAAATCCGGCAGGCGGCTTCCATTTTGGCGGGGAAATTGGAAGTTCGGAGTTAGAGATTCGATTTTGAGGGATTTCTTGGTTTTGGGAAAATAACGAATTGGGATTAGGGTTTTGAGGAGTGGGTTTGAGAATCTGGAGAGAGAGTTAAAATGGGAGAAGAGGAGAGTGTGGTTTAGGGTTTTAGAGGGGTTCTGCATTTTGGAGAGAGACGGTGTGTGAAGAGAAGCTAAGAAACTGAAGATAAGGCATGATACATTTTGGAGCGAGAATGAAGATTGAGCACTTACTTGATCTATCTTTAATTGGTTAAGGACTGCAATTGTAATTTTTCACTGACTTAAGAACATGAGTAATGTTATAGACTATTTGAGAACTATTCTTTTAAATTATTTTTTTCTCAAATTAATTTTCAATTACGCATTTTTATATTATGATATTCTTCAAGTAACTTTTCTCTATTTTTTAACCACACGTTTTTCAAAAATTTACTATTAAAAAATTCATTCTTTTCAAAAAATACTATCAAAAAGAGGGTTAGCATATGGGATGTTTAAAACTCGTAATCTAGGTGATAGTAAGGTCATGTAGTTCCTATTTGAGATCTGTTGAAAATAGATTTTGATATTGCAAGTATTGAATTTTTTGATAAAAAATCTTTACAGACAATATATGACACTGCATCATTGAAAGATTGGATAAAAAAAAGTCCAACCATACACTGCCACATCAGCTTCAGTACAAATTTTATAAATTTTTTCCTCTTCTCACGGCTCTATCCATACATTTTAGAATGGTGATTTTTTGAAAGATATGAGATTAAAAATAAGAAAAGTTTTGAATTATGTGCAATATTATTTTATTAGAGAATGAATGGTTAAAAATAAAAAAGAGAAAGATGAATTTCCCAAAATGGAAACGAAAGAGTGACTTAGAATTATCAAATATTCGCCTATAGATTAACTCTAAAAGAATATCAATGAAGATAAATATTAGCGAATGAATTAAGGGGGCGTTTGATTGCAAGTATAAAAATTGCATAAAAAATAAATTATAAACAATTCAATTGTCTAGAACTTATTTGTACAAAAAATATCAATTAAATGTATTTGATTGATTTAATTTTTAACTTAAAAAATATTATACTTGTCCAATTTTTATTGATGGTAGATGAGAGAGAGTGGATATATGAGAGAGAGAGAGACGGTTAATTTACTAAAAAATAAAATCATACTCTTCCTAAAGAAAATATTTTTCTTAATTTTGAGGAAAATATGATCATATACTCAAAAGTAGGAAAATGTTTTCCATGAAAAAAAAGGTCAGTCAAACAACACAAAAATAGGAATTTTGATGAGAAATTTTTCATGAAAAATATCGACAATCAAACGTACTTTATATTGATAAATCTTATTTTTGTCTATTTAAATAAAATAATTTTTTTTCTCCCGAAAAAATGAACATCTAATTGTTGGAGCAAAAAATAAAATAAAATCATGTGTTCTCAGATTCTCCTAGTTCTGCTATTTCACTTTCTTGAACATTGTTTTCTACTCCAATTGTGAATCTCAGTCCCGTATATACAATGGTAGACAAACCACAACTTTCATTCTACTGAATAAATGGCTTCCTCTCTCCTCCATCTAACCTTCCTCTCTTTTCTCTCTCTCTCTCTCCTCCCCCAAACACCGTTCCTCTCCGCTGCCAACCTCTACTCATCATTAAATAAGCCCACTTCATTTTTAAACCAGAGTACCTCTCCCTCCACTTATTTTGAAGTCACCAAGCCCATAAATCTTCCCAAGACCAAACCTTTTTTCATATTTAGTCCTTCAACATGACTTTGGCTACACTTATGGAAAGCCCCCAGTTCTTTCTAATTACACACCCCCTTGGGGTTGGTCATCTCGGAATTTTGCAAAAACTGTTCTTGAATGGACAACAACATGTAAAGGAAGGCAATTTGATAGAATCTTTGAGATCTGGCTTGGTGGGGTAGAAATTCTCAGGAGCCGCACTGCTGAACCAATAGCAACTGGGATTGTTTGAACTGTTGAAAGGTATATCACCAGTTATTATTCTTTGCTCATGACTAATTACTCTTAATGTTTATATGGGCAATTTTTTTTTATTTCTTTTTGATGACTGAGGCGTTCGAACTTTGATCGAACTAACCTAAGGAGTAGTGGCCTTCCCTGGTTCGCCAATCAGGTAAATTCGGATCCGATCATAGCTTTTACA